AATGCCGTGGGCTTCTATTTTAGTTACAAGTCTCTTATGTGGCACTTTATCAAACACCTTTTGAAAATCCATATAAACTACATCAACTGCACTACTTTCATCCACCCTCTCCTTTACTTCAGCACAAAACTCATTTTTAAACTCAGGTTTATTAGACACAATTTGTCTTTCACAAATCCGTATTGGCTGTCCTTTATTAACCCATATTTTTCTAAGTGAAAATGTATTTTGTTCCTGATTATAGTCTCTAGATGTTTCCCCACTACTGATGTTAGGCTGACTAACCTGTAGTTCTCAGGTTTATCCTTCTGCAGCTTTTTGTACAGGGGAATAACATTTGCAACCCTCCAGTCCTCTGGCACCACCCCCGGTGTCCAAGGGGGATTGAAAGACTGTGGCCAGAGCCTCTGCTGCTTCCACCCTTACTTCCCTCAGTAACCTAGGATGCATCCCTGTGGAGTCCTGTAGCCCAGTGGTTAGAGCATTCACTTTGCAAGCGAAAGACCTGAGTTTGATTCCCGGTAGGGTGAAACCTTGGGCAAGTTTCCTTACTCCACACGCCTGATAATAATCCCTCAGAAAAAAACAGTAATAAATTGGACATTTCAATCCACGACTGTGCACAATTGGCTGCCGCATTTCACCCACAAATATACAGTCAATTCACTTTACAGTCTATTCTGTGAAGCGCTTTGAGACGTCTACAAGATGTGAAAAGCGCTATATCAAAATGCAAGGATTATTAACCTGTCAGGACCAGGTGACTTATCTACCTTGAGCACTGTCAACCTTTTTAGTACCTCCCCTCTGTCTATTCTTAAACTATCCAATTTATCTACCTTCTCCTCCGATACTGTGGCATTGGCTGCATCCTCAGATGCAAAGTATTCATTCACTATGTCAGTCATGCCCTCTGCCTCCACAAGAAGGTTTCCTCTTTGGTCCCGAATTGGACCCACTATAACTTTGACTAACCTTTTATTCTTTATATGCTTATAAAATACTTTAGGCTTCCCTTTTACGCTACTTGCTAACCTTTTCTCATACAATTTCTTTGCCCTTTTTATTTCCTTTTTCAGTTCACTGTATTTTCTATATTCTATTTGATTATCTTCTGTATTTTGGACCTGACATTTATCATAAGCATCCTTTTTCTGCTTTAGTTTAATCCCAATTTCCTTATTCATCTAGGGAGGTTTGGATGCCTTTGTGGGAATGTATTTGTTCTGTCCCCAAAATATCTCCTCCTTGAAGGCTTCCCATTGCTCATGATCTGTTTTACCTGCTAATCTTTCTTTTCAAAAACAGAAGTCGCTGGGAACACTCAGCAGGTCAGGCAGCAGCTATGGAGAAAGTCAACGTTTCAGGTCCACAACCCTTTGTCAGAACTGGGGCATGTTGGGAGGGAGAGGCTTTTAAGGGCTAACAGAGATGGGGAAGGCAGGGCAAGAAAGTAAAAAGGAGAAAATGAGATAGAGTATAGGGCATGATAGGTTAAAGAGGTGTTAATTCAGGTAAAGTAAATGTACTGTATTCAAAAAAGTTAATCAGGATAACAAAAACGTTTTAAGACTACAATTAAGAACCCATAGCTTAATTTCGGATGATGGGAATGAATTTATTATGCAGGAAAATACGATAATAATAATCCCTGCATTTAATATAGCGCCTTATCACATCTTCAAGACGTCTCAAAGCGCTTCACAGAATATACTGTAAAGTGAATTGACTGGATATTTTGTGAGCGAAAACTGGCAGCCAATTGCACACAGCAGTGTCACACAAACAGTAATGGATTGAGTGACCAATTTATTATTATTTATTTATTTTGAAGGAATTATTACCCCCAGAAAAGCAGTCCGCTAATCGGGTTCCTACTTACTGCTTGGTATTCAGAAAATTGGGACAACAGTATTAATTTGGTGTTAATACCAAATGGAAGGATTCTTATTATTATATAAACAGGTAGATGCAGTATGTACATTTAATAAATAGGATGAGTTATGTGAATCCACCCAATATAAGATGTTGAGAACACAATGGAATCAGATGTGGTTAATATTGTGCCACCTTGCTTGATCCTCACTAAAGTCTTAGAATGCGTTGTTGCCAATCAACTTCGCGCGCACCTCTCTTCCCACTCAACACCAACAACAACAACTTGGATTTATTTAGCGCCCTCCACGCCGGACGGCGTCTCAGAGGGCTTCACAGTAACACTTCCTCTTCGAACCCCTCCAGTCCGGTTTCCACCCTGCCCACAGTACAGAGACTGCGCTTGTGAAAGTCACAAACAACATCCTCTCTGTCTGTGACCAGGGCTCCCTCCGCCTCCTTGTCCTCCTGGACCTCTCCGCCGCGTTCGACACAGTCGACTATGCCATCCTCCACCACCGCCTTTCTTCTGTCATCCACCTCAGTGGGACCGCACTCGCCTGGTTCGAGTACTACCTCACAAACCATCAGCAGTACATCTGCACAAACGGTTTCTCCTCCCGCTCTCACCCGGTTACCTGCGGGGTACCCCAAGGATCAATCCTTGGCCCCCTCCTCTTTCTGATCTATATACTCCTCTTGGGGATGTCATCCGCAGACATGGGGTACATTTCCACATGTACGCGGATGCTCCCAACTCTATTTTTCCATCTAACTTTGCAACCCCCAGTCCCCTGATGTTCTGTCAGCCTGCCTCTCAGATCTCAGGGGATGGATGAGCGCAAATTTCCTTCAACTGAACGCCGACAAGACGGAAGCCATACTCTTCAGCTCTCGTCAACGTCTCAAATCCCATGGCTCTCACCTCCTCCACCTCCCTGACCTCCCCCTAAAACTCTACGAACCCGTACACAACCTAGGCGTCAGGTTCAATCCCCAATTATCCTTCCTCCCCACATCCGGTCCCTCACCAGCACCGCTTTCTTCCACCTCTGTCGCATTGCCCGTCTCCGCCAATACCTCACTCCAAAAGCCGCTGAAACCCTGGTCCATGCCTTTGTCACATCTCGGCTGGATTATTCAAATGCCCTCCTCGCCGGTCTCCCCTCCACTGACCCGCTCTGCCTTCCCTCACCTCCGTAACATCGCCCAGCTCCGCCACTACCTCACCCCTCAGGCCGCTGAAACTCTTGTTCATGCCTTCATCACCTCCAGGCTCGACTATGCAAATGCCCTGCTTGTCGGCCTTCCCAACTCCTCCCTCCGCAGGCAGTAGATAATCCAGAACTCTGCAGCCCGTGTCCTCTCCTGCACCAAACTCCGCGACCACATCTGCCCCATTCGCGCCCGACTCCATTGGCTCCCTATCCTTCAGAGGATCCAGTTCAAGATCCTGGTCCTCACCAACAAAGCCCTCCATGGCCTCACCCCACCCTACCTCTGCGATCTCCTAAACCCCTACCAACCTGCTCGCTCCCTCCACTCAGCCAACTCCGGCCTGCTCCACGTCCCTTGACCCACCCGCTCCACCCGCCCCACCATTGGCAGGAGAGCCTTCAGCCACTCTGCCCCCAACCTCTAGAATTCCATCCCCCAATCACTCCGCCTCGCCCCCTCTTTAGCCTCCTTCAAGTCCCGCCTCAAAACCCTCCTCTTCGACCATGCCATCAGTCACCCCCCTTCCCTGCCCTCCCTTCTCCCTCCATGACCCCAGCTCGGGTCTGAAATGCTGTACACTGTCCAGTGCCTTGGGACGTTCTCCTGACATGAAAGGCGCTATACAAACGTAATCTTGTTGTTGTTATTGTTGACTCCCGATAGGTCGAATCTTTGGGAAAATTTCCTTATTCCACACGCCTGATAATAATCCCTCAAGAAAAATAAAAATAAATTGGTCACTTCAATCCACGACTGTTTGTGGGATACTGCTGTGTGCAATTGGCTGCCCTGCTTTATCAACTAATATAGTCAATTCACCTTACAGTATATTCTGTGATGGGCTTTGAAACGTCTAGAAGACATGAAAATCGCTGTATCAAATGCAAGGATTATTATTTATTATTATTATTTTTCCGGAGCAGGTACATTTGGTGAAGACTACTGTCAAAAAAGTGGTTTGTAGAGGATGCAGTTTTTTTTCTTGCTCCATGCATGGTCTTAAGTGTTAGCCTAGCTCAGTTTGTTGCATTCTTGCTTCCCAGTCAGAAAGTTGTGGGGTGATAGCCCCACCTCGGGACTTGGAACTCAACAGACTAGGCTAGCACTCCAAAGCATGCTGATTGTTGTCCTTTGGATGAGACGTTAAACCAAGTTTCCAACTGTTCGGATGGACATTCAAGATACTGATTCTATTTGATAATTAATATGATTCTATTTAAAAACAGAATTAACTATGCCCTGATGTTCTGGCTATTGACCCGCCAAATAAAGTTGGTCGTTCACTTCATGAGGACGCGTTTGGGGAGGTCAAGTTTGCAGGGCCATGGGGAGAGAACGGGGGAATGGGATTGATTTGGATAGCTCTTTCCAAAGATGCGGCACCGACACGATGGGCCGAATGGCCTCCTTCCGTGCTGTATAATTCTATAAATTTTGTTCGTGCGATAATACCTATGTGCAAATTCCCTACAAACACGGTAAACACCCGTGAAATGATTTGAGACAGCTCGATGACGTGATCCAAAGGCGTCATACCAAATGCAATAATAATAATAAAAATTATTATTATCATTATAGAACATCTCCATGGTCGGTTTAAAAGAAAGTTGTCATGCCGGAAACTGGATACAGAGCAAAAAAAAAGGATTTCGTTCTTGGTCTTTTTGTTGCATATTAGCAACGATAAACTTGCTGATATACAACAAAAAGGTACTGAGATGCCAGAGGAGCCTGACTGCCTACCAACTGGAGCAGGAAGTGCAGACAAGATGCTGGTGCTGCGCGAGGACCAGTCAGACTGAAAGAAAGCCAGCGCCGCGCGCACGTCACATGAGTGACGTCAGGAGCCGCTCGCTGATTGGCTGGTGCCGGCGAGACGGGGACTCCCTGGACCGAAGCGCAGGGGGTCAGCACGCGGCGCACCGGGAAAGTACGTAACACAATGCCTGCTCGGCGCGGACCCATTACAGGGTGACACCCGAGGCCGAGCTGCTCGCAGACGGACCGGAGCTGCAGAGTGAGGCACGCGGACGGACGGACCGACGGACCGACGCACGCGCAAGACACAAGTGTGCGCGATACACAAAGAGAAGCGCAGCTCGCGAGCTCCTCACCAACCGCCGCCGCCGTTTGAACGGGACCGTCTCAGGTAAAGGCGCGCGGGGTGTGCGGGCGGCTAACCCCCCCCCCCCGGGAGGGGAAGGGGAAGGGGTTCAGATGGCGGCTCGGCGGTGTAGGTGAGCGCAGGGCTGTATTTCCGGGGTGGTGCGGCCGGTCGTCTCGTATTTTCCCGTGGCTGAGGATCCAGCGAGGTAGCGGCTCTTGGGGGGAGGGAGGGAGAGCGGCGGGAGGTGACCGCTCGAGCCCTCGTGCGACTCCTCTTCGCTCCCATCGACACCATTAGAGGCGGCTTTGAGCTGCTGCTGAACGCCGCTGTCGGCGGCCGGACGCGCGGGAGAGGCCGCAGAGAGCGGCGAGGCTCAGGTCGGCGGCGTCTTGGCTTCATCCTCGGCTACAGCAGCAACACAATTGCATGGCCTTTCATGTCGGGGGGACATCCCGAGGCGCCGGGCAGACGAGAGTTTCCGACCCGAGCTGTTGGGGTTCGGGGAGGATGCGGGGGGGGAGCGGGGAGATCGAAATCACGGTCGAAGAGGAGGGTCCTGAGATGGTTCTTGAAGGAGGCCAAGGGAGGGGGCGAGGCGGAGGGCTAAAGCTTACCCTTCTCCTTGTCGGGGGCTCGGCCGCCATGAGCTCGGAGCGATGGCACCGCGGGGCTAGGCCGCCGCATCGTGCGGAGCGAGGGGTGGGGGGGGGGGGCGCAGTCGGTGTGGTTGTTTAAGGCAGGTACAGAGAGGCCCGCACACACAGCAGATCCCACCGCACACGCTCGCACACGGGGCAACTAAACCCCAACCTTCAGATTTCTGCAAGGGCAGAGGACCTTTGAAGCCAAAGGGAAACGTTGCTCCCAAGATCTTGATTTGTTTTGTGTGTGGTGTGTTTTTTTTCCGGGAAAGTAATGCTGCTCCTCTAGGAGTCCGGAAACTGGCGTAAAACAATACATAGCTGGTGTTTCTGTTAGGATTTCATTAGCATCTCGCCTGAGAGACTTTCTCAGGTGACCGCGTAGCGCGTAATTTGAAGTTTAAACGCATATAAATTTGGGTGCAATATACCTTCCCCCCAAACACCAATACAAACTGTTAGTTTTGATCTTCATCATCACGGATTAGGTGTATTATATTTGGCCTCAGTGCCTTACGGTGAGAAAAGGGGAATCACCCAAGTGATCCTATTCGGCTCTTTTTAAATAACCTTTTTCTGGAGAGGTGTGAGGACATAGAGTCATTATGCCCTTCTGTGGTCCCTCCATACAGTTTAATTGTCAAAACTTGTCAAGGTTTACAACCATAATGTAATATAATAATATTATAATGTAATATAATGTATATTTGGAAACCATAATCATTGATCACCCTCCAGGGTGTGGGAAGTTGACAGGGGAAGTGAATTGGTGAGATAGGAAGAGATCATACTAACTTTACTAATTGAAGATTAATATTTAAAAATAATTGATCCAATGGAAATTAAATTCATTGCTTAGAGATGATGCATGCTTAATTATAGGTTTAACAAAACTAAATGGTGGTGACCAGGTGGTATTGAAGGGTACACTCAGTTAGGTTCCATTCCGTTAGCCACTATGTCCCGAAGCTGTGGAACTCCCTCCCACAAGAGAGAGCCTTGTCCCCCCTCCCCATTTTCAGGCTGTGCCTGAAGATCATGCCCATGGTCACCTTCCCCCTCCTGGCTCGGCAATGGGCTCCACCATTGGATGCCTCCTGGCTTGGAGGGTGCTATATAAATGCAAGTTGTTGTTATAAACACTAGAGTAGTTTATTATTATGTGGAACAATGTTCAATTTTTGTGAATGGAATAACTAATAGTATGTAAATGATTTAGATGTAGCCTGAGTTTCATTCGTCCAAGCATCAAGAGCATTCTTCCTCACACATTTCAGTGATCAAATGATCAGCAGTGGAATGTGAAAGTTTTAAGACGAATCAGATACAAGGAAGATACGATGTTTAAGGGGGGTGGATGAAGTATGCTGATGTAGGTGAAATATTTTTCTGGGATATTAAAGGCAATAATGAGCGAGAAAGGAATAGAAGGATATGGGAGGGAGAAAGGAATGAGTGGAGGCTTGTGAAATATGAATACTGGCATGGGTTGAATGGCCTGTTTCCGTGCTGTGCAATCTAAATTTATCTTGTATATATTATACGAGTCCTGTAGCTTAGTGGTTAGAGCACTCGCCTCGCAAGTGAGAGAACCTGGGTTTGATTCCTGACAGGGCAAGTTTCCTTACTCCACACACCTTTGATCACCTACCAGTAAATAGGAACCCGGTTATTAGTTGCTTGGTGGATCGCTTCTCCTTCAAAACAATCATTAATAATAATGATGAGTTGGTCACTTAATTCACGACTGTTTGTTGGACACTTCTGTGTGCAATTGGCTGCCGCATTTTGCCCACAAAATATACGTCAATTCACTTTACAGTATATTCTGTGAAGCGCTTTGAGACGTCTCAAAGACGTAAAAAGGTGCTATTTTAAATGCAAGGATTATATTATGAGGTTCTATTACTCGATTAGAATGGATTTTACTACGTTGCTGCAAATGTAATGATTTTAAACAATGGATTTAAAAGTGCTCCACATTTCATCAAGCCTAGCAGTTTTGTAAAACAGACTACAGACTACTGTTATTGATCACTGCAGAAATAATAATTTTTCTTTTTTTTACAGCAAGTTTTATTGTGTACCAAAGAAATGGTGATGGAGAAGCCAAGTCCCCTGCTTGTAGGGCGGGAGTTTGTGAGACAGTATTATACTCTACTAAACAAGGCACCAGACTTCTTGCACAGGTATTTGTTGCTTTTAGCCATTAATTTACCATCTAAAATTGTAGTTTTTCAGATTGTCGTACAATTAATATTTTAAATAAAAGTGGAATTTTATTAAATGGAAATTGAGGTTGTGAAATGAATTTACCTGTTTGCTTAAATATTAAAGAGGCAAATAGCACAACAACAATCCATTAGCAACACGGAGATGTTGCTAATAATTTGCGAGTACATTTGAATGAGGATGAGAATATACAATAATAATAATCCTTGCATTTGATGTAGCGCCTTGTCACATCTTCAAGACGCTTCAAAGCACTTCACAGAATATACTGTAAACTGAATTGACTGTATATTTTGTGGGAAAAGGATTAACTGGAAAAAAAATCCACTTCTTTGAAATTGTGATGGAGGCAAGGAGTTTATCCATCTGAAACACCAGGTTGATGGAACTTAAATTAAAAATGCTATATTAAAAAAAGAAGTAAATAATAAACTTTTATTTAACATAGAATATTATGTAAACAATCACTTTCTGACAGCCAGTGCCTACAAACAGGTCAAATAAATTTGAATTGTTCTGGGTTGAATCATTTCAATTAATGAAGGTAGTAGATTGCAAAGCTGAACAAGATTTGAAAATACTTGGGAATTGGTCAGATCGGTGGCAGATAAAATTCAATGTGGAGAAATGTAAATTACTTCACACTGGGACAAAAAAATCCTGTAAGGGATTATTATTAGAACGGAAGGAAAATAATGTGTATGGGAAATGAAAAGGACCTGGGGGCTTTGATTGACAATAAATTGAAGCTCTCTCAACAGTGATTTGTGGCAGTCAGTAAAGCAAACCAGATGTTGGGATGTATCAAAAGATCAATAGCAAGCCAAAATAGTGGGGTAATCCTGCCACCGTATAAATCATTGGTGTTACTTAAAGTACAAAGAGGATACTGGGGACATTGAGAAGATCAGATACAGAGGGCAACCAAAATGATTGAGGGACTGGACTATTGAGGAGCGATTAAGTAAATTGGGGATGTTCATGCTGGAAAAAGGTGGAAGGCGATCTAGATGGATCTTAGAACATAAGAATTAGGAGCAGGAGTAGGCCATTCGGCCCCTCGAGCCTGCCCCGCCATTCGATAAGCTCATGGCTGATCTTCAGACCTAACTCTAATTACCTGCCCTATCCCCTAATCCCTTCTGTTTTTTAAAAATCTATCAGCCTCAGCCTTGAAGATATTCAAGGACTGAGCATCTACAGCCTTCTGGGGTAGTGAATTCCATAAATCTTGGTCTTTTCGCCTAGCATTTCTTATGTTCTTAATTTAACATTTCAAAACTTGGTTTATAATATTGTGTCAGCCCCTAGTTCAGAAGTAATTCAAAGTAAAATTGATGCTTTTATATTATTAGGTAAAGGTGAAGCTGCCCTTGGTTGGGAAGGGTGTAAGCTTTTGAATGTAGGATCTTTAAAATAGAAGCAGTGGTTGTCTGGACTCTGAAGCTAGGAAGCGGATTTTTCTATGTTGTCCATTATCCCCTTGCCCATCGTTAGACCAACACAGTCTCGTGAATATGAAAGCTGTTTTTGATTTTATGTTTATGTGTTCTGCACATGGAGTCTATTTCCAGCAAATAAAGCTTCGCAGCTTTTATATTGCTGCAAAATCCTCGTCCTCACTTTCAAGGCCATCCGTGGCCTTGCTCCCTCCTACCTCTGACCAGCTGACTCCCTACCAACCTGCCCGCTCCCTCCGTTCAGCGGGCTCCGGCCTGCACCATGTCTCCCTCCTCTTCAATTGTGCCTTCAGTCACCCTCCCACCTCTCTGCCTTCCCTCACTCCAACCCCACTCCTCCCCCATGCTCGGGTCCTGACCCCTGATTGTCCAGCGCCTTGGGATGTCCTCCTGACATGAAAGACACTCTATAAATATAATTTTGTTGTTGGTGCTGTGCCATGATTTGTTATGCATTACATGAAGACAAGCCCCTCACTGAGGTTTGTATTAAGCTTGTGTGACAATCTTGTTTGTCTTACTAACTGCAGTCTCACATTGCAGACTTTACAACCAACAGCTATTCCCAAATTGCTTACTTTAAGCTGCAACTGTTGTCTTTTAATTGAAGTGCAGAAGGGCTTGGAAATCGCATGCTATTGTTAATTCTTCAGTTGCTTATTTATAACTTCTGTACTATCCTGTATATACTTTGATGGGTGATACTACTCGAGTCTTGTTCTCAGAGCTAAAATAATGTGCAAACTATAGTAAAATTGATGAGCACCTGACCTTCACAATCCTGGCTTCAACAGCCTTTGCTTGTCTTATAATGTTAGCTTTGAATATTTTAACTTCCAGTTGTTCACCTTTCGATCTCATAAGAAACCCATTGTAACTAAATGGTAGGCCTGCTACTCCACATTTGGTGAATCTTTCTTAGGGATTTCTTCAGTTTGTTTTGCCAATATCCACATTAACCCACATAATCAAGATGCTGGGCATGCTTATTACTGTATCTGACTCTTACAAATGTTGGCATCTTTCACAAGTGTTATTTATTCAATCTACTTCCCTTTCTTGATCATGTCGTACTTTGTCATTTACAGTCTTAAGAATGCATTACAGACTAAAATGGACAAGAAGCAGGTTAATTCCTGTAAGTAACAGGAGGTAATCATTTCAGCAGAATGCGGTGTAACAGTGCATATCTGCATATACTTTAGATGTATTCAAAAGATCCAGTGCTGCAAGCAAAGGAGGGAAGCTCGCTATTAACCCAGCATTAATGCCTTTAATTCCCTGGGCAGATTTCTAAATCCATACTTTGACATTTTTGGGACATGTTTTGGTTACATCTCAACACATATCCTGTTTAATTGCCAAGCAGAAACCACACATATATTCCAGTATCAAAATCTTTTGAAAATTACCCGATTTAAATGATCTTTTTTCAAATGATTCAAATCACGGTGTTGAACATAGGTGGAATATTCTTTGATTCAGTCTTGGTTTGGAAGTCGTTTTTCCACAGTTCATACAAAAATGCCTTTGGAATTTAAGAATTTTCCACAATTTTCTGATCTTAAATAATAATTATTGATTAATCATAATTTGGTCACTCAATCCACAACCGTTTGTGGGACACCACTGTGGGCAATTGGCTGCCGCGTTTCATCTGCAAAATATACAGTCACTACCCTGTACAGTATATTCTGTAAAGCACTTTGAGACTTCTCGAATACGTGATAAGGCTCTATATCAAATGCAATGGTTACTAAGGATTATTATTGTTTTCTGTTCCAGTAAATAAATGATGACTGCATTAGAGCATTCTATAAAACAAGTATAGTTTATTTGCAGAATTGATGGATTGTAGTTGTGAAATAATATTAGGTACTTTAGACTAATGTTCAGTGTGATGATCCTTTAAGGTGCAATGTTACTTACCTGATTGAAGTTGTGTTGTTGTTGAAGTAAGCAAAATGAATTGTCTTTTCAGGTTTTATGGTAGAACCTCTTCTTATGTTCATGGTGGATTGAATGCCAATGGGAAGCCCGCAGATGCTGTTTATGGCCAAGCAGTAAGTACAGCTGTATATCACCGTTGTTTGCATATTATTATTATAAATTAAAGTCTTTAGACCCTCAACTGGAGATGTGCCTTCTATATTATAACATTGGTCACTTGGGAATTTACACACTTGAAAATCCTAGTATTGCTCACCAGGAAATCAGAAGCTGTATCGTCTATCCTCCACTTTCCTTCTCAAGTGTTATTGGAGGATGCACTTTCATTTGAGTCCAGTATTTGTTGTAGGATCCAGCGAAAGGCAAAATACTGCAGATGCTGGAAATCTGAACTAAAAACAGGTCATACAGCATCTATGGAGAGAGGAAAGTGAGTTAATGTTTCAGGTCGATGACCTTTCGTCAGTCGTTAACGTTAACTCGTTTCCTCTCCATAGATACCTCCTGACTAGATGAGTGTTCCCAGTGACTTCTGTTTTGTTTAGAGGATCTAGTTGGGAGTGAGAAACGTAATTCTTGAACTGACACCATTTGTTGGAATATTTGGAATAGGGTTCAGCCATTCAACGTATTGAGGCTCTTCTGACAATTTATCTGTTTGTTGCAGTTCTTTAACTTTCTCATCTTATTTCTCTATCTTACATCAGTATTCCTTAATGCCTTTGCCAGGTAACCACAATATGAACACATTTAATTAATCACTTTGTTGGGCTGTTCATACACATTCTGTGTGTTGAAATGTTTTTTGGATTTAATTTTAACTAGCCTTAGTTTTAAAAGTATGTCCTTGTAGAAACATTCAGTACAATAGTGCTAGTTACAAGTACTTTACTAAACTGTTTTCCCACCTCCATAACATCGCCCCGGCTCCACCCCTGCCTCTTCCCTTATGCTGCCGAGACCCTCATCCTGCTTTCATTACATATAGGCTCGACTGCTTATTGGCCTTCCCAACTCTTCCACAAGCTCACCTGGCTCCATTGATTCCCCATCCCCCAGATAATGGAGATAAAAATCCTCATTGTCGTTCCTCTGTCTGGCCCACCCAATTATAGGCATCGGGCAGTCTCAGTACCCTCATCTTTGACCGCACCTTCTATTCAATATTGTATACTACTGTATGTTCTGGAAGGGAATTTCCTGTTTGTATGCTTAAATGATTGGCCTTTGGCAACATATTTAGAAAGAAAATCGAACATCTTTTCTCTGTGTGCATTGTTGATCTAAGAGATTTACTTCTCTATCCTGCTCATACATATTTGCATTTTGCATCTGGAAGGATAGAACAAGCATACAGTTGTATGTTATGAATTGTTGTATTGAGGTTTGGACAATGGGTGGACCAAGATATGTTCATGAGACCATCATAAGAGTCGGATATCCTGGCATTAGAGGAGTGTGTCTCATTAACCCATGAGTTCATTCAAAGTTCCTGAATTGCCTCCCCCCCAATTAAACCAATAACACACTATCCCAAATAGAAATACTGTATTTCAATATAGTTTATCAGGCTGAATCGAGAAGCCAAGGTAATTATAATTCAGTGACATAACCCAGTTTGCCAAGCTGAATCAAAAACACTGTTTTGGACACACCCTTATTATTACTGTTGTCCAGTCCCTCAAATTATCAAAGACCAGCAGATCTGAATCAGTAATGACTCTGCAACCACTTCAATATGACCTATTGCACTGAAGGCCACCTGTAACCAGATAAAACTACAATAAAAAGAATGAGCAGTCCCAAGAACTGCCAATGACCCAGTGCAATTATCATCCACTAAATTCAGGTTTGCAGAATAAAGACAGCATTAGAATGATATGCAATGAGCTTATTCATCAGAAATATAACTCGGTTTGTGTAGAAAATGGTAACATGATATATAACATACACGGTAATACAGTAGAAAACTATGACAATGTGTACATTTAGTTTAACATTTTAAAAAACTCATAAGAATAGATTTCCCTTCTATTTCACAACATGATATGACAATAGATTCCTGGTTAATCGAGCAGGGTTAACAGTATTTTTAATTTTATCAATTTAAAATTGAATAATGATTCTATGTTCTGCTTACATTACTTTTTCTAATGTAGGAGATCCACAAAAAGGTCATGTCCCTTCAGTTTAGTGATTGCCATACTAAGATTCGTCACGTGGATGCACATGCCACACTTAGCGATGGGGTAGTTGTGCAAGTGATGGGTGAACTGTCAAATAATGGTCAACCAATGAGGAAGTTCATGCAAACATTTGTCCTGGCACCAGAGGTAAGACTTGTTTTTAAAATAATTTGGTTTGCTTCAAATTGGCTAAGATTGTAAAGCACCACTTGCAAGTTAAATTGAACTGTATATGTATTTAAATAGAAACAAGTTGATTTGAGTAAGAACTGAGTTTACTAAACCGAACAAGTGAGTTTCCATGTTGTTTGAATATTAGAGTTGTGATATTTGATGTTCAATAATACAATGCTCAGAAATTGATGCTACTTAATTTTTGGGGGGTAGGGACTGAAAAATATTATGTGGGTGGCAAACAAGTTGTCACTTGCAAACTGTGGTTTCTTAGTCGCTGGTTCTATAGAATCTGACCCATAGCTCGAGGGCTAAATTTAGGAGGCTTCTGAATTGTATTCCAGTATATAAATATGGTCAAAGGTTTGAAATAGTACTTTTGAACCTTATGTGTGTGTGACCCTAACTGTTTTAGCTTGGATGTAAGTCTACGTACATCTCTTAGCTTGTTGAAAACTTTGTCAGAGAAATTCTCCTAATCTTGTGATTTCACATTTTTAAGCATTACTGATATAATATACCATGAGACATTATTTAGTTATTTATTTATTGACATTAACACAAGTAAGTTTATATGGTTTAACCATGTTGATTTAGGAAAAGTAAACAAATTACTTTTAGCTGCGTCTATGTATGCTTCAAGGATTTAGTAACTGATCATGATGTGTTTTTATGGGCTTTCCTTTATATTTATTCAAATGTCATATTAGAGGCAAGAATTGCATACATTCATATAATTCTTTTTTATTTTTAAAAATAGGGTTCTGTTCCAAACAAGTTCTACGTGCATAATGATATATTCCGTTACCAAGATGAGGTGTTTGACTCTGATGCAGAATTGGAAGAAGGTATGAAATTTGAGCAATTATATGTCACTTTGGCATCTCTATTTTGTAGCAGTTTGCATACAAAATGCACAATCACTGCGCTTCACTATTTAATTATTTGAGCAGGCAGATGAACATTCTGGTAATATTTAGATTAAAATTTTAAAATCTTTTAATGGTGGTTCTTCAATCATGGCATTAACGTTCAAATGCCTGATTCAATTTTCTTGCAGCTTAACATTAACTTGTACTTTTCAGAATCAGAAGAGGAAGTAGAAGAAGAACCAGAAGAACGTCAACCATCTCCTGAGCCAGTTCAGGAAAATGCGAGCAATGCATACTATGAATCTCATTCTGTTAGGTAAATATTTTGTGTATAGAAAGATGACTAGGGTTGGTAAGTCAAACTTGTCCTTGGGTGATTTGCTTCTTAATTGCTGAATGTTTTTAATCTATTGATAGTAGTAATCCTTCCATTTGATACAGTGCCTTATCAGGTTTTCAAGGTGCTCAAAAGCGCTTCACAGAATATACTGTAAAGTGAGTTGACTATAGTGTAGCGCTGTGTCGCAACCTTTGACATCTTAATGTATTATTCACTGATTTACTTTTGTCCCCAAGTTATTTCCTCAACTAACTCCAGTAAACGTCTTATCCCTCATAATTTTGATTTCCGCAGGGTGAAACCTTGGGCAAGTTTCCTTACTCCACACACCTGATAATAATCCCGCAAGAAAAAAAAACTAATAAATTGGTCATTTCGATCCATGACTGTTTGTGAAACACTGCTGTGCACAATTGGCTGCTGCATTTCGCCCACAAATATACAGTCAATTCACTTTAGTCTATTCTGTGAAGCGCTTTGAGACGTCTAGAGGACGTGAAAAGCGCTATATCAAATGCAAGGATTTTTATTATTATTATAAAGCCATGCTGAGTCTCTTATATTTCCACATTTTTCTGGTTGTTTTATGCTCTTCAGAATGCCTCCAATATATTGCCTACATCAGATTTCCGACTGGACAATGAGTTTATTGGTTTTGCATTCCCTGTTCTCCCATCCATCATGCACTCATTTATGTTTTCGATGAGTTCCTTACTGTACTATGTACTCTTCTGTGCACCCCCTGCCTATGTCAGTGTCTTTAACCTGTCTTAATTCATAGTGTGTAGTTTTTATAAAATCTGAAAGTTAGGTTACAAGTACATATTTAATTGGCTTTAAGCTAATGTTGCTGTGTGAATTTTTTTTTAAAAAAGTAATGGAGTGGAGGAAGCCCTGGAGGAGACAGCTCCTGAACTAGAACCAGATCCTGAACCAAAAACTGAAGAAATAAAATCTGAACCAGAATTGGTAGAGAAGAGTGTTGAAGAGTTGGAGGAAAAGGCTCCATCTCCAGCTCCAGTTGAGCCGGTTTCTCAACCACAGGAACCACCGAAGGTTAGTAACTGATCTTTTCCACTGCATAGACTTCAGTTAGTTTCAGGTGTACTTAATATTTTTAAAATCATTTTCTATTTACAATATGCTAAATGAAAACCTTCATTTCAAGCAAAATGTAATTTTTTTAACTTAGAAATAATGCACAATGTGCATGTTAAATTATATGGAATGGTAAATTTTGAGTAGTTAGTTGAAAGTTAGCTATCAATGGTAAGTTGTAATATCTATGAAATATACATGTTAAATGTAACTATGTGGGCAATTAACACCAGTAAGCTACCAAATTGTAAACTTGCCCTGATTCTTGACTTTAATAAAAAAAACTCTTTATTGTATTTGAGGGAATTGGTTTCTTCTTAATAGTAGCATAGGTGTGTGTTGCATTCTCTGCAGGCTTTCTCCTGGGCCTCAGTGACCAGTAAAAATCTGCCTCCTAGTGGTACTGTTTCCTCCTCTGGAATTCCTCCCCATGTTGTTAAAGCACCAGCCTCACAGGTAATCTGTGAATGGACTTGCTTTTGTAATTATTAAGATGCTCAAATTGCTTTACTTGAAAACAAAAGCTTAGATATTCCTGCTCGGGTTATTTTTCAATCAGAATAGGTAATTTAAAAAAAATCTTACTGTGGATATTCTGCATTAGTTATTGATAGTATCCATGATAACGATAATAATTTCCATATTACCAAAACGTTAAGAGGAATTCTGCTGTTACTAGGCAGAAATTAAAAACTGTTTGTCACTGAAGTAAAATATTAAAATATGTGACATTGGTAATTTGTATATTTAATTATTGCAGCAATTCACTGATTTTTTTTCTGTACAATTTCAGCCTAGGGCTGAATGTAAAACTGAACCCCAGGCACAACCCCCACGGCCACGAGACCAGCGGCCTCGAGAGAGGATAGGATTAGTACCCAGAGGGCCTAGAACAGGTGAGCTATGTTTGATAAACGTTGTCAATAATATAGTGGTAAAATGGGAAGCAACACATTGCATGAATGATGTCACGTTTTCACCGTTTTTGTGTTTTCACTAATTTTTGTAGCTGGTATGAATCTTCTGGTTATTTTCCCTTGTAAATGATGTAACATAATAATCCCTGCATTTCATATAGCACCTTTCGCAGGAACATTTCAAAGGGCTTCTTAGGATTACCTGTGAAGTGACAGTATTTTGTATGCAAACCCAGCATCTAATTTACACAGAGTAATATGCCACACACAAGAAGTGAATGACCAATTTTATCTGGTGGATTGTTAGCCAGGAGAAACTAATTTCTCTTTTCAAGTAGGGCCAAGGGATCTTTAATGCCCACATGAACACACATGTCTTCGACAATGCGGCGCTTCTGGAGTGTTACCCTAGACTACATGAGTTCAAAGTCCCGACATAGGGCTTGAACTCTACCTTCTCACTCGGTTGCAAAAGTGCTATCAAGTGAGCCAGGCTGACACTTAAGATGCACCTAAGTTACAGGCCTTTCTAAATTCCTTCATGTGGTTTGTATAGATTAGGGAGACTGACTTGCCATAACTTTGTACATGCAGTGTAAATTTACAGAACTGTAATTAACTCTAGCAATTTTTTCTTATCTGTTTACACCAACTTAAACAACATAGGGCTCATCACACACACCCTGTTTTTGGATGAATGTAACTTCTCAAAACAAATTTGGTTTGAATCTAGCTTTTCGGGTTTGTGGCAAAAGCACAGCCTCCTGCCATCCATTCCTCCACATTTTCGACCCATCCCTCTTCTCCCTCATGATACCCACCAAGTGCTCCCATGACCTGGTTATTCCCACAACCCCCAACTCCACCTCCTTAACCCCCCTATCAACAGACATCATAAATCTCTCTTTGTCTCTGCACAGTCTCCATCCCTTTCAAATCAATTGACGTCGCAATCCTAGTTCATAAACCTTTCCTTGACCCATACTTTCCACTAACTACTTCTGTTTTTCCCGTCAAGGGTATTGGATCAAGTCGTTGCTTCCCAACTTTGCTCTTACCTTTCCTGGCACTCCCTGTACAGAACTATCCAATCTGTCCTGTCCACAGTACTGGGACTGTCCTGGTGAAAGTCACCAGCAACATCGATCTGTGACCTCTCTGCCTCGTTTTTCTTGCCGTCTCTGTGGCCTTTGACACTGTTGATCATGCTATCCTTCTCCACAGCCTCTCTCTGCTCCACTATCATTGCCATTCTTACTTATCCCAAGGTCTCCTCGAATGGCTTCTCCTTCTGCCTTGCATTGTCGCGTGTGGCATGTCATCTGCCACACATTCCCACTTGCCATTTCATCCACAGGCATGAGGTTAACTTCCAGTTGTATGCAGATGACATCCAGCTCTTATCACTGCTGTTCTGACTGATTGTCTGTTAAACATACAAGTCTTGGCTGATCTCTAATTTTCTCCAGTTGAATGCACTTTGATGCACTTTCCACTTTGTGGAGCTAGTTTGGTAACTTCTGTGACTCCTTGGGCCCCTGAGATCCTATTTCGCATTCGTCATGTCCAGGCGAGATTACACCAATTCTGTTCTATCCATACTACCCGCCTCTTCCCTTCATAAGCTGCATATTATTCAGAACTCCGCAGCTTGTGTCCTTTCCCTCAATAGGTTCCCTAAGCAATCGCCCTGATCTCACCCAGCTCCACAAGCCCACCGTCCCATCAGTGGATCGAGTTCAGATCCTTATCCTAATCTTTAAATCTCTCCCAATATCATGCCCATCCTACCTGTGTCCTCCTCAAACCCTACCAACTTGGCCACTCCCTCCACTCAGTTAACACCGACCTGCTAAGCATCCCTTCTCCACCCACCTCAACATTGGCCCTGTTTGTCTCCATCTCTGGTACTCGAGGCCCGGAGCCCCTTCAACCCTAATTCTTAGTTCCCTTCCCAGCCTTCTCCGAGGCCCTTCTGTTTGCTGTTTGACCACTCTTTTGGTTTGATCGCTCTTCTACCCATCTCCACCCCCAAGCTAGGGCCCAATGTGAAAGGTGCTATATAAATATTAATTTGTATTGTATACCAATTTGTGATCTTAGGAATTCATAATTATGCTTGTGTGATTATGGGTTACAGATGAGTTTTATAGCATTGTGTCATATCAAGTGACTTCTTTTCTTAAGGTCGTGGAGAAAATGAACAAAATGAAGTTGAGAATCGTCGAATAATCCGTTACCCAGATAGTCACCAGCTTTTTGTTGGCAATCTACCCCATGATATTGATGAAAATGAACTGAAAGACTTCTTCATGAGTGAGTAGTTTAAGTTTCAAGCTAGAGGACTGTTTCTAGTTTGAAAGTCGTAAAAAAGAATTTTTAAATGACTTGTTCCAACTCTGGTTTGGAAATCTGAAAGTACTGTTTAATACACAGTAGGGTTATCGTATGCAGTCTTCTTTTACATGGTTTTCGTTTCCCCTGCATCGCCCTTCGAATCGCAATGTTGAGCTTCAAAGTGTGTTATCATGCAATGGTGTGTTATGAAGTCCGATGGAGTCGGCCAGCTTTCTGCCGATTGCTTCGTGGTGTCACCATTGAAGTTGCAATGTGGAAGTGCTATTCTAAATCTGGTTGGGATTTTATCCCTTTATCACATTGAAACAGGATTCTACTTCATGTGGCTTGTAGATTAAACACTAATTTAATTAAAATTTTTATTTTGAAATCATTGGAGATTTTGTTGTGCTGTGTACATTGTGGAAATTTTTGCAATTGAACTGTGAATGTGTGTAGACATAAAACAAATTGAACCTATAAATTCCTGCGCAGCATCTTGACCTTTTTCATTTTGTTGGTAAGTCCAAGTGCTCTTGTCAGGAATACAAACAGTTAATTGATATCAGTACGTTTACAAGATAATAATACTTGCATTTGATATAGTGCATTATCATGTCTTTGAGGCATCTCAAAGTGCTTCACGGAATATACTGTAAAATGAATTGACTATATTTTGTGGGTGAAACGCAGCAGCCAATTGCAGACAGCAGTGTCTCACAAAAGTCGTGAATCCTTATTTCTAAAGAATACAAAGCATGCTTTTGCAGGGTCAAGTTGCTCGCTACTTGGGTGGCAGTAATTATTTTGTATCCAAGTTGTTTATGTTCTCTGAAAATATCCTTAATGTGGCCAATGTTACAAAATATTTAAAAAGAATTTGGACTGCCACATCTGTTGTTTAGGTCTTTTAAATTAACCAGTTTGGTGAGCTCCTGTACTGTTTGAAAATTTGAGAGTAATTCTCTTATGTCTGCATAGGTTTTGGCAATGTGGTTGAACTCCGTATTAACACCAAGAGCAGTGGAGGAAAATTGCCCAACTTTGGATTTGTGGTGTTTGATGATCCGGATCCTGTCCAGAGGATCCTGAATGCCAAGGTAACTAAATAAAACCGCTAAATAATCCCATTATCTCATTTCTGTTTTAACCATGTTTGATCTTGTTTAGCAACATGTAAGCAACATAGTAAACTTAAATCTGTTACAGCCAGTTATGTTCCGGGGTGAGGTCCGTTTAAATGTGGAAGAAAAGAAAACTCGAGCCGTCCGTGAAGGAGAGCGCAGAGGAGATGATCGCAGAGATAACCGTCGCAATGACCGAGGCCCTGGTCCCCGTGGAATGATTGGTGGTGGAATGATGCGTGATCGTGAAGGCCGAGGTCCTCCACCTAGGGGCGGTCTGGCACAAAAGCCAGGACCGGGATCTGGAAGAGGTGGTGGACCAGGTGAAGGTCGCTTTGCTGGACCCCGTCGCTAAAGTGCCACTGTTCTGATATCTTGCTGGTGGTACCATACTCTTCGTTTTTGCGTTCTTGTTAAGTTTGGCTTTGGAATGTGACAGCCTGTTTTTCATTTCTTTGATGTGAAAACAGCCTTTTACCAGTTACGTCAAGGTGAACATTTCCCTATTTTGGAACAGGATTTAAACTAATGTGTAAGAACTGAAAGAGGCCTTGATTTAATTGGAACAAATTGTAAAGGCCTAAGGATTCATTCACATAAAATCTAGGGCCTTTTGGTGCAACTTGGCTGCTTTATTTTCTGAAAGTGTTAAGTTTCTGCCCAATTCTATTGGAAAAAAAAATTGGTGCAATTAGAGAAGCTTGCCTTGATATTTCTTTTAGGAACACTTGGCTCAAGAACTTGCGTTCATGCACTCATCATAATGCACTAATGGGTACTCTTAGAATGTCATTTACCATGACAACTGCAGGAGAAGGCAGGCGAAAATCCGACTGCTGTCTGCTTCGACCGGGAAGGATGACTGGTGACCAGATGCGGGCATTGAATCTTACTTGCTGTGACCAACAAATTTCCACATCTGCAAACCTAAATAGACGATGCTGAAACCGTTTCAGATGGTGATGAATTTTTCTTGAACTAAAAAAATTTAAAATATGAAAACAATCGTGAACTTGTAATAGAGCCCTAAACGCAGAAGAGTTTGGTGGCTTATCCTCATTTTTCTATCTGCCCACTGCAAAACAGGGATGGCTGGCTGCTCAACACTTTTCCTCCCCTTCGATCTGTGCAGTTATAAATGCAGCGAAAAATCATAGCTAAATGTTACTGTTTTAGTTCTTTCAATATGTAAAGAGCATGATGGTGCCTTCTATTGATACATCATTCCAGTCTTGCTGGCAGCTTTGTACAAATTGATGTACTAACTGCTGTGTTGTATAAAGCCAAACAGCTATAAAACTACGGAATCACTAGTGTGTTGATGTAATGCAGAGATAAAAGAAAAGCTGCAGCATCCTTGCTTTAAAGAAGAGATTTCAAAATGCACAGTATCCCAATTCACTGACTAATAGTTGTTTTTGAGTTTCTGTACAATATATACAACCTCATGGTTGATGCTGGTTTGTTTTACATTGGAAAATTAGGTCTGTCAATTTGAAGTTCGTTATCGCTACGTTTTTATATATGCAAAGATACAGTTATGCATATATCTTATCTGAGTAAACACTCCTGTTAATTCAGGTTTCTAAATCTATTGATTTTGTTTCAATTAAGTGTAACTGAGGGAAAGGCTGCATTATGCAAAGGGTGAAACTGATGGAGACGAGGGATAGGGCGGGGGGAAAATGTTGGTGTTTTAAAAGGCCAACATAAAGGATACTGCAGCTTTAAACCCAGAATCAGCAGCTTTTTTCCTCCCTTTTGTGGACATCTTAATAATGTACCAATAATTGGCACTACCTGCAACACAGCTTAAAAAATTGTTGGTAAGGTGATCCATAGAAGCTCGGCACAGTTTAAAGCTGCTGATTGTGATTAGATAAGTCATTAAGTCACAGCTTCTAGCAGCAATGCACATTATCAGTAGAGCAGCAATTTTTGAAGCAGTAATTTGTTTACATGCACGGCTCGAGGCTGTTACTTTTTGACGGTTCCAACAAAACTGGCAGACGCACAGTGAAGTTGTTAGCTTTGACTTTGAAAGGTAATTGTGTCTGTTGGTTTTGTTTTTGTTTAGAACTTTTCTGAGGTCTTCCTTGTTTGATGGTAGTCTTGCACTATTTCTCAAAATCTGGGATGCATTGGTAGTTAGTGTTTTTTTTTCAATCTTGTTTAAACTATTTTTCGACTGATCTCTATTTTGGATCTATTAATGTGGCCTGGAAGTATTGTACTTTCCATCGGCAAGGAAGGGTAGACAAGTTTATTATTTCTCCCATCTTACTTGAAAGACCTTTGCCCTAGACATAGAACATGGTTTCAGTATCACTTGCACAAATTAATTGCCAAGTAGTTTACCAGAATTTCATTTTCTGCTGTGCTAATTGCTACACCTCACCAGCATTATTCTTCAGTTTTCTTTCAAATCGTTTCTGGAACTGAAGATCATTTCGAGAAAGTGTTGCATTACCGGATAATTAACCCAGAGAAAAGCTGAAGGCCATCCTTTTTGGCAATCTAGCTGGCTTCTCGCTCTAAATATTGAAATAAATCTGGTAACATCAGAATATGGTAGCTTCCTGCTGGTTGTTCACTGAACTTGATTGTGTGCTGTAGTCCTGTTTCTCCCTCCTTAGAATAGAAGTAGCTAATACCCGTAAAGCAAAGTTAGTAAATGTTTACACTGCAAATATTTGCTAGGTGGCACTAGATGCTAGCATATGTTACTGTATTGGAGCAATATTATTCCAAATTTCAATGGAATGGGCTTTCAAGTTTACCATCTTGGCTTTAATGGGTATTATAGGTAATTTAATGGTTTGCCATCTTAAAATGCTGATATGTTAGAGCATAGTAGTTAAGTGTTGCAGATGGCGAGTCTTCATTTTTTGGTTTTTACTTTGAATGTGTTGGACTAAACATACAATAAACTACTGATGTCTGCAGCATTCAGAATTGTTTGCAGTTTTGTAATTCCTATTTTTCTTCATTTTGTGTTCAATTGAGCCAGGGCCAAGTTTAATTGCTTTCCACAATATTTCTACATTTGTTTGCTGTAATCATTGCTTGCATTCTGAAATGATTCCAAAACCCCACCTGCTCTGCTCCGAAGGTAAAACGAGTACTTATCAGTTCCCCACTAAAATATTTTTGTGTGCTGTAGAATCAAATGAGTAATGCACAGAGTGAAGTGTCTTCACTCCAGATTTCTAAATCTGATGCATTCTTACCAGTCAATACCAGTTTCCGGATCTACTTATTGTATTAATTTTTAAAACCTTAACGGGTTTCATCTGTGGGTTTAATAAAGCATTCATTACTAATGTTAAACACCTGCTACTTTCCTTGTTCTATTTTTAACCTGAGCATAATTTTTCAGAACAAACTCAATTTGTCACATACTTAGTATAACCTAAGTCACAAATAGATTGCTTTATCACCAGAATTTCATTCAATCCTTGGTTTGGTACTATGGCTTGCTATACAGATGATCGTTTGGTCATATGCTAATAATTTGATCTCTTTAAAATGTTGCAACATTTGCAACATTTTATGCAATTCCATGGATACTAGATCACTATTGGAATGGTTTCAACAAAATGACCAAACTATTAATTGAGCACCTTTTATGCTATCCACTGGACCAAAATAGCTTTGGTTGTAGGGAACCAGCTTTTAGATGCTATGCTAACTTAGATGCTGTCATGTGCTAAATGGTATAATATTGTTCTTATTGATATTGCATAGTTTAATATTGAAGGCAGCTGGTCTATATTTAAAGGGAAATTGTTAAGGTTTCACCATATTTGTGTTTTGTGTCAAATAATTTGTTACTCAGGGTATCAGGAGAAACACCTGTTTCTTTTTGAATAATATCATTGACATCCACCTAAATGGGCAGGCGGGAATAAATGGTTTTAAAATAGATGGCATCTCCAACTATACATCTCTGACAGAATATTGGCGTATCAGCCTAGAGAGTAAGCTCAAAGATTTGTTGTGGGGTTTTCCCCCAGTCTTTTGATTCTGTGGTGAGAGTGATAATAATAATCCTTGCATTTGATATCGCACTTTTCACGTCCTCTCGACGTCTCAGAGCGCTTCACATAATAGACTCTAAAGTGAATTGACTGTATATTTGTGGATGAAATGCGGCAGCCAATTGCGCACAGCAGTGTCCCACAAACAGTCGTGGATTGAAGTGACCAATTTATTATTTTTTTGCGGGATTATTATCAGGCGTGTGGAGTAATGATAATAATAATAATCCTTGCATTTGATATAGTGCTTTTCACGTCGGGAGGACGTCCCAAAGCACTTCACAGAATTTACTGTAAAGTGAATTGACTGTATATTTGTGGGCGAACGCGGCAGCCAATTGCGCACAGCAATGTCCCACAAACAGTCATGGATTGAAAATGACCAATTTATTATTGGTTTGGGTTTTTGGAGGGATTATTATTAGGCGTGTGGAGTAAGGAAACTTGCCCAAGGTTTCGCCCTGCTGGGAATCGAACCCAGGTCTTTCACTTGCAAGGCAAGTGCTCTAATCGCTGAGCTACAGGACTCCACAGTGCTACCTAATGAGAATTGCAATTAGAAATAGTACCATAGAAATTTGCAGCATTAAAGACCATGGTGTATGTACTGACTCTGAAAGAGCAATCCATTCAGTCCCATTTACCTTGTTTTCCTTCCTATCAATGGAAATTAGATTATCTTTGATTACTTAGTTATTTTTTCCGTCATTCTTGTAGGATGAGTTTTTTAATTGGGTGCAACTATTCTATTGAAACCAGTTTGAATATTTTCCTTTAATTACATTTAAAGACATTAAACAACCCTTTAAATATTGCATGGTTTTCAAATGAGCTTTAACAGGGTTGGTATGGTCTTGATGCCATAGCTGTTACTAGGAGCTCACTCTTACGGTTCCTTCATAGCCTACCAAATAGGGACTTGAAGTGGAAGCTAAGATTTCTTTTTAGCATTGATGGCGAGGCCACAATTGTAAATCAATTGACATTCTTTGATTGTTTCATGTAGTTGGCACTAGAAATGTGAAAACAACCTTTCTTCACAACTTTGACTGAATTATTCACGTCAAGCCATCTTTTACCCTTTTTTATTCTCAATGCATCACTCCAGAGTGTAAGAATAATATTGGCTGAAAGTTTGGTCACAACTGAAGAAAAAAATGTGTTTATTTCTCGGTGATATTGGTGATTACAAGAATAGATGCAGCTTGAAATGAAGAAACAATCCACAGGCAATGATTGTTTTCTTACGCCTGGATTGGCGTAACGGAGGCCAGCAGAGCAGGATTGAATTTATTTATTGAATAAATATTCTGTATTTTTTCCTTCATGATCAACAAAAACAAATTTCATTTGTATAACATCCTTCAACACAGGTAGCGGCTCACAGTGCTTCATTGGGCTTCATTGGCATATCTACAGAGCTTTCTCCCAGGAAATACGGTGGAGAGGATCCAATACCATACAAATTCCATTGTTTAGCGCCTTTCATATTAGGAGGACCTCCCAAGGTGCTGGACAGTCAGGGGTTTGGACCCGAGCTGGGGGTCGGGTTTGCGAAGGGTAGGATGGGTAGGAGGGTGGCTGAAGGCTTGGTCGAAGAGGAGGGTTTGAGACATGCCTTGAAGGAGGCAAGGGAGGAAGTGAGACGAAGGGAATGTGGGCTGAAGTTCCATAGGGTGGGGGCAGGAAGGCTGCAGGTTCAGTCACCGATGGGAGCGGGCTGGGTGTGGGACATGGAGGAGGCCAGAGCCTGCTGAGCAGAGTGAGCAAACAGGTTGAGATGAGATCAGTAGATCACAGAGGTAGGGAGGGGCAAGGCCGTGGAGGGCCTTGAAGGTGAGGTTGAGGATTTTGAACTCTAACCTCTGGGGGATGTGGAGCCGGGCGAGGATGGGGATGATGGCTTCACAGAGCCTGGTGTGGCAGAGGACATGAACTCAGAATTCTGGATGATCTGCAGCTTGTGGAGGGAAGAGTTGGAAAGGCCGATAAGCAGGGAGTTGACGTAGTCGAGCCTAGATGTGCTGAATGTATGGATGAGGATTTTGGTGACCTGTGGGATGAGGAAGTGGCGGAGCTGGGCAATGTTGCAGAGGTGGGGGAAGGCAGAGCGGGTCATGGCACGGATGTGGGGTAGAAAGGACAGTTGAGGGTCAAACAAGATGCCAAGGTTACAGACTGGCTCAGTAAGGTGGAGTGCGCATTTTTGGATGGTGATGCTGTTAGTGCCTGAGGTATGGAGGTGCTGACAAGAGCCAATCAAGAGAGCCTTGGTTTTGTTGACATTCAACTGTAGAAAGTTAGCTCTCATCCAGCACTTGATGTCTGTCAGTACAGCAGTGGTCCTGGAATCGAGGGTGGTGGCAGAGAGATAGAGTTGGGTATCATCCGCGTACATGTGGAAGTTGACCCCATGTCTGCGGATGATGTCATCAAGAGGGAACATACAGATGTTAAGGAGGGGACCAACGATAGGGCTCTGAGGAATGCTGCACAAGACGGTCCAGAGGCTAAAGGAGAAATCGTTTATGGAGATTAAGTGGAGACATTGTGAGAGGTATGATCTGAACCATTCATGGACAGAACCATGAGTCCACAACAGGATAGACTTTGCATGGAGTGGAAGAAATGCACTTGGTAAGGTGAATGGCCTTTAATTTCATGCTCAGCTTTAATATTTGTGCCATGTCTTGCCAAAACCGCTATTAATTTTCCATATCAATTTATTTTGCTTCTTGGACTGGTGTGCATGTGATTTAAGCCAGGGCCAATGTGTTGGCAGGGCAGGTAGGTGACCAGTTGGTAACACTCACCTCTGAGTCAAAAATATCATAGGTTCATTTTGCACTTTGAGCTCAAATTTTGTATTTACATTTGAGCCTGGCACTTCAGTCCAAGTGCTGGGAGAGTGCTGCATTGTTAAAGGTGCAGTCCTTTGAATGAGAGGTTAAACCAGTCTCCCAGTACTGGATGTCTGTGAGGGCGCTTCTCCTCTGTGTGCGCAGGCACCTTTGAAGAAGTAAACCCCCAAAAATCATTGCAGTATATAAAAATGCAAAACTCTGAAAAATGTTGTTGGACATCTACATAGAACTCAAATTCAAACTCTTCTCTTCAAATATTGCCATTGAATTTTTCATATCCACCTAAAGAGGCAGACAGGATCTCGCCATACGTTGTTGAGACATCTCAAAGTACTTCACAGAATACACTGTAAACTGAATTGACCCTTTTGTGGGTGAAACTCGACAGCCAATTGCACACAGTAGTGCCCACAAACAGTCGTGGATTGAGTGACCAATTTATTTATTGAAGGGATTATTATCCCCAGAAAGCGATCTGCTAATCGACTAACAACCCGATTCCTACTTACTGCTAGATAAACATAGTCGTTTGGAGTAAGGTAACTTGCCTTAGGTTTCACCCTGCTCAGGAATCAAAACCTAGATCCTCGCTTGCGAGGCGTATGCGCTAACCAATACCCCATTCGAAGTACAGCATCGATGCAACACCCCCCCCCCCCACCCAGTACTGCATGGTGTGTCTGCTTAGACTCCTAAGTCCTGATGTGGGGCTTGAATCCACAACCTTCTGACTCAGATGAATGTGCTACCACGGCGCCAGCACATAATGAAATTAATAAACACTGAAAAACAAGCTCAAGCTATATGAAATTATCAAGGATTATTATTCAGCAAGAAAACTGGCAAGAATTAGAGGGCCGGCTGCAGCTGGGAGATTGTACTTCAAAGTGAGTTTGGAAGAGGAGGATCATTAAAACACTGTACTTTTAGAATTTAGTTGCCAAAGGACGGGGTGATTATTTTATCTGATTAAGAATCATCTCATTTCAACTTTGTTTTTCCACTTACGCCAGTAGATGGCACTTAAATTCTGCAACTGTGAGATGGATCTGAGAGTTCAGACGAAAGGTCATTGGCCTGAAACGTTAACTCATTTTGCTCTCCATGGATGCTGCCTGACCTGCTGCGTGTTCCCAGCGACTTCTGTGTTTATCCAGATTTCCAGCATCTGCAGTACTTTGCTGTTTGTTTTCTGTGTTTGAGACTTGGGCAGGAAGATAGTGGTTCACTTCATGCAGAGCTATGCTACCCATGAGGAACCTCACAAGGAGTTCCTGATACCTGCCATCCACCGAATGAGGGTTCAAACCTGCACTTGTTAGATGTCAAATGACCAACTATAACATGACTATTCTTGGGGGAGGGGAATACGCAAGGCCTCCAAGGTAACGTGTTTGGCAATGGATTGAGTCAATCCTTTGTGGCTGCCTTGGCAATCCAGTTCCTGAACCAGGTGTACCTCAGGGCACAAAGCTCCTGTTAACCCTGCAAGCCACAGCCCTATGGCTAAGGGTGTCCGAGCTGGAAGCTTGCCAGACAATCCTCTCAATGGTAAACCATACGGTTTTAGCCAGCAGGAACTCTAGCAGTAACTCAACACGTATGCTGAAGTCCCCAAACCTTGGTTCTTGCCAACCTGTGCCTAATACATTCTAAAATGAGATAAACAGGGTGCATCCCTTTGGGAGAGAAAGCATAATCCAGATGCAGGAATTTCCATGTGCAGGTGGCATACATGGAACTCTTGGATCTGGTCTAGATATTCTTAAGCATAGTGATGTGTAACCACACTTGTCAGACATTGACCTAATCAAAATGACATAGGATAAATGAAAACCCTAAGCCTCTGATAATATCAGCAACTCAGAGTTTGGGGGGTTGAAGCTACTTCTGCCCAACCCTTGCATTTCATTGTGGGGGAGCGCTCTCCTGCACCCCCCTGCCCCTCCAGTTCCTCCACAACCAACAACAACAAAATTACATTTATATAGCACTGCTATAAATAATCTAAATATAATATCATGTCTTTGAGATGTCTCAAAGTGCTTCACAGAATAAGCTGTAAAGTGAATTGACTATATATTTGTAGATGAAACACGGCAGCCAATTGCGCACAGCAGTGTCCCACAAACAGTCGTGGATTGAAGTGACCAATTTATTATTGTTTTTTTTTCTTGAGGGTCTATTATCAGGCATGCGGAGTAAAGAAACTTGCCCAGAGTTTTGCCCTGCCAGGAATTGAACCCAAGTCTCTTGCTTATGAGGCGAGTGCTCTAACCACTGAGTTACAGGACTCCACTATAAAGAGTGATTGGGTATATTTTGTAAACAAACACAGCAGCCAATTTGCACAGCAATAGCCCACAAACAGCGAAGGAGTGAGTAATCAATTTTACTTGGGGGTATTGTTAGCCAGGACACCAACAGAAACTCCCTTCTTTTTTCGAAAAGTGCCTCGGGATTTTTAACATCCACCTGAACAGGCAGATGGACCTTCGTTTAACATCTCATCCAAAGATGGCATGTCTAGCAATGCAGCATGTCCCCAGCGCTGCACTGGAGTATCAGTGATTCCAAATCTTGACATGGGGCTTTGAGTCAGAGCCATGGTGTTACGATTTGCAGTGATATTCAGTAAGCTCCTGATAACTCATCACTCTAAGGGAAAGGGCTTAGTGACGAGTTATCTGGAGTGGCGAGTTAGGCCTATGTATAAATAAATAAATGTGGCCGGGATACTAACAGCCTGATGATAAGTGGTAGTAACAAGCTAAGAAGGGACGAGGAGTTTACTGTACATGGGATTCCTGCATGAGAAACAGTTGAGCAGGTGTGGAGGTTTTTCTGGCAGTGATGCTGCTTTCCTGAGATTTTTTTCCCCCAATCCCACTGTCTGGAGATACATTCCCTCATCATATCCTCTCAGTGGGATATGTACCTTCTTACGTTTCCATGGAAAATTAAAAAAAGCTTTAAATTTCAGAGATGTAAAAACAATTGAGTTGTGATAATGGGGGACTTCAATTATCCTACCGTAGACTGGGAAAAAACAGTCTAAAGGATAAGGAGGGGGAAGAATTCCTGAAATGTGTACAGGAGAACATTCTTGATCAGTATGTTTCCAGCCCAACGAGGAAACAAGCAGTGCTGGATCTAGTCCTGGGGAATGAAGTGGAGCAAGTGGAACGTGTGTCAATGGCAGAGCATCTGGATAACCGTGATCACAGTATCACCAGGTTTAGAGTACTTACGGAAAGGGACAAAGAACAATCCAAGGTGAAGATACCCAACTGGATGATGGCTAATTTCAGAGTTGAAAAGGGATCTGGCCCATGTGGATTGGAAACAAAGATTGAAGGGTAAAACACTAAGGGTACAGACTAAACACGTTCCCATGAGGGAGAAAAGTAGGGCATCCAAAATGAGTGCTCCCTGGATGACTAAACAAATTGGGATTTGTTTAAAATTAAACAGAAAAGGAGGCTTATGATAGATGTCAGGTTCATAACACAGTAGAAAATCAAGTAGAAACAGAAAGTGCAGAGGAGAACTGAAAAAGAGAATAATAAGCAAAGAGAACGCATGAGAAAAGATTAGCGGGCAACATAAAGGGAACACTAAGGTCTTTTATAAACATATAAAGAGTAGAAGGATGATAAAAAAAGGGTGGGGCCTAATAAGGACCAAAAAGGAAAACTTATTGTGGAGGCAGAGGGCATGGCTGAGGTACTGAATGAGTACTTTGTATCTGTCTTCACAAAAGAGGATACTGCTAATGTCACAGTAAAGGAGGAGGGGGGTAGAGAAATTGGATAAGATAAAAGATAGAGGAGGTACTGAAAAGGTTAGCAGCACTCAAAGTAGAAAAGTCACCTGGTCTGGATGGGATGCATCCTAGATTACTGAGGGAAGTAAGGGTGGAAATAGTGGAGGCTCTGGCCACAATCTTTCAATCCTCTTAGGATATGGGAGTGGTGCCTGAGGACTGGAGGATTACAAATGTTACTCCCCTGTTCAAAAAAGGGGAGATGGATAAACCCGGTAGTTACAGACCAGTCAGCCTAACCTCGGAAACTTCTAGAAACCATAATACGGGACAACATTAATTTGCACTTGGAAAAACATGGGTTAATAAAGGACAACCAATGTGGATTTGTTAAAGGCAAATTTTACCTAGAGAATTGTTACTTTCTGGAATGCACTGCCTGAAAGAGTGGTGGAAGCAAATTCAATAGTAGCTTTCAAAAGTGAATTGGAGAGGTACTTAAAAAGGAAACATTGCAGGGCTATGAGGTAAGAGCAGAGCAGTGGGACTAGTTGGGAGCTCTTTCAAAGAGCCGGCACAGGTACGATGAGCTGAACGGCCTCCTTCTGCGCTGTAAGATTCTATTATTCCATGAATTGCTTACAGGCCAAAATAAGGGAAAACCTCAGTAAATAAGGGGAATTGGATGCTGACAATCCTTTCACTTGGGGCTACACTATTAAGGAAATAGCTTCATAATTGTTAAAATAAGGAACATGAGAGGATTTTTCTCTCCTTAAAAATTTCCCTGGTGGCTGGGTAACAGGTCTGAATGGGGGGGGGGGGGGGGGATTTTTTAAATATATATATATCAATAAAGTCCTGAGTGTCGCAGTCTCACTGATCAACACCATGGCTGTCTGGGGATAGACACACTGGCCTCACTTACCAGAAGTGTAGCCACAGGACTGGAAACTTTGATTTGTTTTTCAAAAGAAAGATGTTGGAGGGGTGGAGGGGAGGGGGGGAGGGGTGGAGTCGCAGGCAACGAGTGGTGGGTGAGGTGATGGTGTTGTGGGGAGGGTTGGTGTTGCTGTTGGTAACCATTTACAGCTTCTCTCTCTCTCTCTCTCTCTCTCACACACACACACACACAGTGGCTGCTGAGTTGGTTCCAGCGCCTCCCCTCCCCTCCCCTCAGCCCTCCCCTCCCCTCACCCCCACACCCCCCCTTCACAGCTGTGGCGGTGTGTGCACTGCAGCGCCTTCATTGTGACAACACTTCAGACAAAGGGACAGAAACAGCCACACAAAGAGCTCAGTGCCTGAGAGGGACCTCCTCTGCGCCTCTCGTCCCCCCCCCGATGTGTGTCCTGTCCTGTCCTGTCCTGTCCCGAGCACACAGCCTGAGAGGGGCGGGAGGGGGGCAGGGAGGGAGGGAGGGGGCAGCGGACACACCGAGCAGCGCCGCGAGGCATGTGAGCAAGATAGGCGCCTGAGACTGCAGGTACTGTACCCCCCACACACCCCCTCAGCTCTCACACCCCCACAGCACTCACACCCCCTCAGCTCTCACACCCCCTCAGCTCTCACACCCCCTCAGCACTCTCACACCCCCTCAGCTCTCACACCCCCTCAGCACTCACACCCCCTCAGCACTCACACCCCCACAGCACTCACACCCCCACAGCTCTCACACCCCCTCAGCTCTCACACCCCCTCAGCTCTCACACCCCCTCAGCACTCTCACACCCCTCAGCACTCACACCCCCTCAGCTCTCACACCCCCTCAGCACTCACACCCCCTCAGCTCTCACACCCCCTCAGCACTCACACCCCCTCAGCACTCACACCCCCTCAGCACTCACACCCCCTCAGCACTCACACCCCCTCAGCACTCACACCCCCTCAGCACTCACACCCCCTCAGCACTCACACCCCTCAGCACTCACACCCCCTCAGCTCTCACACCCCCTCAGCACTCACACCCCCTCAGCTCTCACACCCCCTCAGCTCTCACACCCCCTCAGCACTCACTGCACTCTCACCCCCTCAGCACTCACACCCCCTCAGCTCTCACACCCCCTCAGCACTCACACCCCCTCAGCACTCACACCCCCTCAGCTCTCACACCCCCTCAGCACTCACTGCACTCTCACCCCCTCAGCTCTCTCACCCCCTCAGCACTCACACAGCTTCAGCTCCCACAGTGAGCTGAGCAACTGTTAAATAGACTGAGAAAAGTTACTGTATAAACCACACTGAGAAAATGAGATTTGTTATTGTGTAAATCATTTAACGTGATAAACAATATTTAAATAATCATAGTTATAAAGGTCATTTCTCTCTGGTATGATTATTGTATAATAGTAATATTTAATGGACACATCTGGCATTTAGGCAAACTTGGTATTTCTGAATTTCAATATTTACAAATGACATGATAGAAGTACAATAAATGTAAAGTACTTCATTTGTTTGTTATGAATAGATGAAAAGCAACAAGATATTTATAGCGGACAACAATTACACAGAGGTCTGACTCCATGCATTTAGTGCATGCTGGATGTGTTAAAATTATAAATTTTCCTGTAAACCTACTGTAGTTATAATTGTATAGTCATAATTGGCTGCTGTGTTTCATTCACAAAATACAGTCGATTCACTTTACAGTATATTCTGTGAAGCGCTTTGAGATGTCTCAAAGCCCTGATAAGGCGCTACATCAAATGCAAGGATTATCAGGATTATCTGTCCTAAACCAATCTCAGAAAAAATGTCTCCTTTTGTGTGGAATTATGTAGCAAAACTATTAAAGTATTCCACATCATAAAGGATTTGAAAATCATAGTCCTGGTATTTGCCTGTGATACCATATTAATTTCGCATTAAATTGAAGGCAGACAGAATTGTTGATTCTTAAATCCAGCCTTGTTTGAAAGCTCAATGTTAAAAAAGACCAGACCATGAAATTACAAGAATCTTCCAAATCAAGGCTAAATGTAAGGTTTTTCTGCAATTCTCTCTTACATTTAAATCAAAACAGTCCCACAGTCTTAGACCAGGGAAATTTCAGCTCTATGATCTTTTATAATTTGATATGTGCTTCTATAAAGTATCATCATGTAAATTTATACTTGTAAAATCCTGAAATATTAGAAAGCCTGAATAAATGATAGCATTGCCTTCAATTAACATGCCTGCTAACTTCACTGCTATGAATTGTTATATGCTGCATGTTTACTTTCAGGTGATCAGTTTTCAGTATCTGATTTTATATTTCATAACTGTACAGTATGGCAGAAAGTTTTTGGAGTAAATTCATAAAGGTTCTTATAATTTCATGGTATGATTATCATCGTCTGTTATTGTACAATGAATGTGGCTTTACAGGATGCTGTAAAGTTAAGAAAAAGCTAAGTAATATTTAACAGCTGAAGTATGCAGTTTTTTTCAATAATAGCGACTCATGAATACCAGTGCAGGATACCAGGAGGGAGCAGGACCTAAACATAATGTTGTGTCTTTAACTCTGCAAAGTAATCAATCACTTCTTTGGTGACCGGTGGGAATCAATCTGGTGACACAGAATCATCGAATTTTACAGGAGACACGGGAAGCCATCAACCAATCAAAGCTGTACTGAATCCATTTGGTTCCACTTACCATACATTTTAGATTCTTTTTGTCTAAATCCCCTTTAAAAAATATAGATTTTTCTTCAACAAATGTTTTGGTAGAGCCTTCCATGCCATAATAACCTCTTCCATTGTTTTTTTGATATTGATCTTATATTTATGCTCTGTAGTTACTGAATCACTGACCTGTGGAAACAGATGCCTTATCAATACCTCTCAACTTTCTCTGAGTGAAAACAGCCCAGATCTCTCTCATCTGTTCTCATAGATTATATAGAGTGACACAGCAAAGAGAAGGGAGTTTCCCCGGTTCCCTGACCAACAATCACACGAATAAAATTGTTTATTAATTTCAATGTTTGTAAGACATTACTGTACGCAAATTGGCTGTTGCGGTCGCATACAAAATACATAGTAACTTCACTTCACATTATTTCCTGTGAAGTACTTTCACAATGAGAGAAACTCCCTTCTCTTTTTGAAGAGCACAGTGGGATCTTTAACGTCTACCCGAACAGACCAACGCACCTCAGTGATGTTGAGTAATAGAGATGTATTACCAGCAAATGCAGAATTGCATTGATATTGATAAGACTGCTTCAAATAAAAGTCTCAAAAACTCTGGGGCTTTAGGAAACAATACATCATACTTAAATGTTTATTTCTGGTTCCAGATAAAGTTCATTGATTGAAAATATCTCTACTATAAATGTTCACTATGGAAGTCAATTACCATGTGGTATAAGTCAGATAGACACTTTTTTGTCCTTCAGAGGTTACAGTATTCTCGCTATTCTTAGATTTTTAGTATTCCTCCATTATCACACCAACTCAGCCACGTTCAGAAATTTAGTTCTGTGAAATATTTATTGGCTCCTGGTCTGTGGTTGAGGCGAATAAAATTCAGATATCACCCATGTAGGATGGAGGACAACTGGGGGCTCTTTCACACTGATTTACTATTTCAAGTAATATTACTTGGTGAACACCAGCCTGTTTCAGGTACCCCGCACCCCCTGCCCCACATTGGCGGTCGGGCATTCAACATCTCTGCCCCCACACTGTGGAATTCGATCCTGCAATCCCTCAGCCTCACCCCGTCTCGTTTCCGTCAGGTCCCGTCTCAAGACCTTGTTCTTTGACTGGGCCTTCAGCCACCCTCCTCTCCCTGCCCTCCACCCTTCCTGATCCCAAACACCAGTTTGGGTATGGATCCCTGACCGTCCTCCTGATGTGAGAGACGCTATACAAATGTAATTTTTTTGTTGTTGTATTACAAAAGGGAACTTTACTCCTATTTAATGAAAAGAGCAAAGTAGCCCTACATGGGCTAAAAATGCAAAACTGATTATGCAATGAAATGCAAAACATTTTTTGTAACCCCTCTGTTATTTAAAGCTTTATTCCCCATATTGAAGTTGTTTTCTGATGATTTAAGAAAATTTGCTCAGTATATTATTCACCAATGAATTTATTAAGATTATTATTAATTTGTTGAAACGATAAACTGATCTAATGTAAGCAAAAACTTGGTGAACTCACCTTGCAGCTAGGCTATTAAGTATAATGTCTTTATTCATTGCTTCTGTAGCAGTTGGTATGTGAGGATCTATCTACCAATTGCATCAGCAATTAACGTAGGTTTGGTTTAAGAGGGACAAACAAATACAGGGTTTCAATGTTAAGGTACTTAATTTATTTGGGTTTAATGTATTTGCCAAGTTGAATTATTTACTCAGCAACTCATCTAGGTAGTAATTTATAGGCATTTGTAATCCAAGGTCCACCCACCCCAGTGCAAGGTGGACTCAATGCTTGAAAATATAGCTGCTCAATGGCCAGGTCATATTTGCACATCTCATGCTGTTGGTACTCACCAGAAGCCTTTGGGGGTATGCTGGTCCTGGCACCAGGAATGTCTCAGCAAAGATTATCTGTGTAGTTGTAGATGAAGCTGTACAGTAGTGGGTCTGCATTTGCATAACATTAGATTTCGAGTTGGTACTCACACTGAGTCCAGAGAGTGTATGCATTCCATAGGTGTGGAAATATTGTCAGTGTGGCACAAGAGTGTTGATAGCCCTTCGAATCAGAAGGTTGTAGTTTCAAGCCTACATTTAAACATGATGGGTTCCCACATGTATCAGAATCCATCTGACCAAATAAAGAAGGCTGCAGGTTTGAATCTATTATTGATAAATTGGCTAATCATCGGTTGCAATGCTACATTTGCTCTCTACACCACTTTGTGGAGTCCTGTAGCTCAGTGGTTAGAGCACTCGCTTTGCAACTGAGAGACCTGAGTTCAATTCCAGGCAGGGCGAAACCTTGGGCAAGTTTCCTTACTCCACACGCCTAATAATAATCCCTCCAAAAAAAGACAATAATAAATTGGTCATTTTCAATCCATATGACTGTTTGTGGGACATTGCTGTGCGCAATTGGCTGCCGCGTTCGCCCACAAATATACAGTCAATTCACTTTACAGTGTGTTCTGTGAAGCGCTTTGGGACGTCCTCCCGACGTGAAAAGCGCTATCTTAAATGCAAGGATTATTATTATTGGATAGCGAAGGTGAAATCAGCCAGGGTTCCTGCTCCTGAGTGCTTCCCTCTGGATAATGAAGGCAGGGTACCTTCTGTGCCCTTCAATAATGTGGGGCAATGCTTGCTAACACAAAGCTTGGGTTGGAGCTTGGGTGAGGTACTGCAGTGCAATTGATACTCATGGCAATCAGCAGAAAGAAAAACAGTCAAATGTCTTCAGGAGAGGAGCGGTGGGAGCGGAGAAAGAAAAAGGCTGGAATGTTGCACGTTGTATCAGTTATAGCTAGAAAATGACACACCCCAAAAGTCACATCTTGCAAGAA